GGTTAGATAGGCATCTAGCTGGGGTCATCTAGACCCAGCCCTCTTTCCTGCCTATGCAGGGGGTCAGACTCAATGATCTATTGAGGTCCCTTCCGCCCCTAACATCTATGAATCTATGACACCAGTGCCACAGTCTTTGGTTCACTACCTCAAACCTCCTCTCCCTCCTCAGCCCATAGCCTGAAACTGGGATGCTCAATGGAAACACTACCTGCATCCCCAACCCCTTTAGCCCCGCTCCCAAATCCCTGTAGCACTTCATGACCTGGCTGGGAGCGCTCCAAGCCATGTCATTTGTGCCCACATGGATAAGGAGCATAGGGTAGTGGTCAGTGAGCTGGAGTTCAGGGATCTTCTCTGCAATGTCTCGGATTCGGGCTCCTGTGAAGCAGCAGACTTCCTGGGCTAAGGGGTTGGGGCAGCAGATTGCCCCCTAAATCCCCCTCAGGATGGAGTCTCCCATGACAAACACTTTGCGTTTTGTCTTAGGGAGAGTGGGGGCAGTAGCTACAGTTGAGCCTGTGTTGCCTGCAGGAGCTGGCAGCTTGGCAGGCTCTGCTGGGGCTGCAAGAGATTCGTACCTGTTGGAAAGCTCCAGTGGGGTGGGGACCTTTGTGTGTCAGGCCTTGGGTCCCCTGGTCACCTTGGTGCAACCCCTTGGCTGGACAGCAAGGGAGGTCCCCGAGTCCTCCCTTGTCCTAGAGGGTGACCGTGCTCTACCCTCTGCCTCCTGGGGGAGAAGGGCCTGGCAGTAGAAGTCTATCTCCCACTCACCACACCTGATGGCATGCAGTCTCTGGACTGCGGCCTGGAGCTCCTCCAGCTGGGGCACCAGAAACCCCAAAAGGCAGAAGACCCCACAAGGGGAGGTGACCATGCTCCTGGACTCCAGAGCCTGAAAAATTTTCAGGCAGCTCCCACAGCCGAGAGCCAGAGGCTCTGTGTGCATGGAGCCCCGAACCATGGGCTCCGTCTGGGTAAAGGCCTTTGAGGAACCAGAGGGCTGGGGCCGCAGACCCCAAGGGGAGCCTTGGGTTGTGGCGTGAGCCCATCCGCATGATGCCACTGGTAAACCGGCTGCAGCTGGCACTGCCTACCCTAGGGGCTCACAGGCAGGGCTGAGGGCTCTCCCACTCGCCCTCCTGCACAAACTCCCATGCTAACTTGTGCACTGGGCCCAGAAGCATGCCTGTTTGCGCATCATGTTCGTGAGTCTGCAGTTGCATGGCTCCCTGGGAGGCTGGGCAAAGTAGGACCTGGGGCAGGGAGAGGCCCTCCTCAGCTCCACTCAGCCACCCCACAGCAGGGCCATGCCCCTCCCAATATGGGCCCTGCTTACCTCTGGCAGTGCTGGGGGTTGGCAGGGTGCTCTGTGGTCACTGGGGGGGCCTCAGGGTGCAGAGGCATGACAGGCTTACACCTGTGCATCTCACACTGCTCCTGGGGCCAAACTAAGCTTTTTTTTCTGTTTGGCGGGCACTTTTAAACTCCACGTATGCACAGTGGGCCCGCCGCTGGCAAAGTGCTGCTCCCTGTCAAGTGGGGCCCTACCCGGAGCTTTGGGGGACCCTGATCTTCTGGAGAGGGACTGGTAAGTACCCTCTTTCCCCTCTTCTCTCTCCCCTCTCTCCCTGAGGGGCTGAGTGAAGTAGGAGCCAGGGCAGAGCAAGGCCCTCCTTGGCTCCACTCAGCCGCCCCGCAGCTGGGCTATGCCCCACCCACCATGGGCCCCGCTTACCTCCAGCAGTGCTGGGGGTCATCGGGGTGCTCCATGGTCGTTGGGAGGGCCTTGGGGTGTGGGGGCGCGATGGGCTTACACCCATGCATCTCATGCCACTCCTGGGGCCACACAGATGTGGTGAGGCCATATCTGGAGTATTGTGTTCAGTTTTGGGTTCCCCACTATAGAAAGGATGTGGACAAATTGGAGAGGCCAGTGGAGGGCGAGAAAAATGATGAGGGGGCTGGGGTACATGATTTATGAGGGCGGAGGCTGAGGAAACTGGGCTTTGTGCATGTCTTTTCACAGCATCTGATGAAGTGAGCTCTTGCTCACAAACACTTATGCATCTCTGATTCAATTAGTCTATAAAGTGCATCTTTATCTTGCCTTCTGCATAAAACAGCTAAACTTGAAGAGAAAAGAATCAAACAAATGATCACTTGAAATGCTTTTCGAGTGATGCATAGGTTGTGACTACTGAAGAATGTTAAGTACCTCCTGTGTTGATTTTCTTGGATTTGGTATTTTCCAAGAAATACCAAGACAAAAAAAAAAATGTTACGCAGCTTTATGTCATTCAAAATTGTCTTCTGTCTGTACGGCTATGGTCATACTCAATACTGTTAAGCTAGATTTTCCATTCACTGTCAATTTTGGTTTTAGAGAGTGGGAGGGGATGGTGGGTTAATAAGAAATTTGGTTTTGATCTTAATTAGGCTGAAAAAAAATCATTTTCCAATGAACCAAAACATCCCTAGATCCTGCAACTGCTTCATGGATAGAGGTCTACCTAAATTGAAGTAGCGGCCTGCTGATTTCACGGGCAGAACACAGGGCCCAGCAGCCATTTTGTGGGGGGAACACGGCACCCCCCCACACCTCTGACTGACTATGGGACCCTAATGGCTCAGCCCCTCACCTCTGATAGGTTGCGAGGGGAGGCAATTATCTTGTTGGCAGCCCTTCGAGCAGGCAGTCCTCCCATGCCTCCTCCTCCTCTGCCCTGAGGGACCAGCATTTTGTTTTCAGCACATTTTTTTTTTCCAAAGATTTTGCGGGCAACGTCAGATTTCATGAAATCCACAAAATGGTGATATTGGTAGGTCCCTATGCATACATTTAAGCTCTCGTTAACGTCACTGTTAATATGTGAGAGCAAAAAGACTGTCCATATATTGGCAGTCAGTAGGGAATCTACAGGAAGGCAGCTGATCTGTCAGGCTTACCTGACCTTAGAGCAGTTACCTCTATTTCCTAACACCTGTGGTGCAAGGGCAGACTCACTAGGAATCCATGTAGGACTTCGCTTTTAAAAATGACAAATTTAAGACAATAAAGGAAAATATTTTGGGTTCAACAAATTGAAGATTTTTTGTTTGTTTGTTTAAGAAACTGCATGATGGTATTGTTTTCTTTCCCTGAATATACAGCCTTTCACTGCTCTCCTGGGGTTTTTCACAAATTTAGAGAAGTTTATTTACCATAAGTTTGACGTGGAAGTCCCTGGGAGGCTCTGAGAATATAAAAGAGAAGTTGAAAGCTCTGTGAACCAGTCAGTCGACTTCTGTTCTCACAGCTGAGATGATATTCAAATTCCTCCTCTTTTCTGGAGTCTGGACTGTTGCTTCAGGTAAACTTTATATTTTTTGGCTAAAACTTATAAAACTTTTGTTGACAAAACAACCTGCTGACCTGATGATTTATGGCTACAAAGAAATGTTTGCTGCAGTTTGGCTTCTCACTGACCATCCCAGATAAGCATCTTCAGTAGCAAAGCACTACTGGTAGACAAACAACCATGTTGTCCATTGGGGACAGGGTTGGGTTTTACTCCTCTCTTTCTTTACTGACACTTCATACTTAGACTGCTTACTTAATTTACCTTCAAATTAATTCTAAAAGAAGTGTGTCCATCTGCTACATGTTTGTGCATAGATTATTTTAAAAAATATTAAATGAAAATAGTTAATATGCTTTCCAACACCCCACCCAACTTGATTCCATCTTATGTTTTGGCTGAATTTATGGTTGTCAGGTATTAAACTAGTTTTCTTCTAGTCAGGCTGGGATGTCTGACTTAGACTACTGTGTTTCTGCCAAAAAAGGTTCCAGTGGCAGTCTATCCATAACAGAGCTCAGCACAGTACTAAGCTAAGCACTTGAGCATTGATTCTTCTGCTTAGGTGGATTCTGTGCTTGTTGCAACTATGCTAGTAGCAGTATGTGAACAAACTTGGACATATTTATACTATGTTGCAGTTATGGGAGTGACTATGGCGTAAATATTCTGTACGTGAACAAAATATATCCTTGTCATAGCGGTATGCATGGCAAAACCTTATTTCTGGTCAGCAACTGGCCGTAGACTTAATCATACTGACTCAAGCCTAGTTAGGAAAGGAAATACTGTTGTTTGTGCCTGGTTTGTCTATATCTTACTTTGGGGGGCAGTAATATAAACCAACCAAGTTAATTTTAGCTTCTATTCTAAGAGAAGAATCAGTGCAGAATGAAGTAGGGCTCACCAGTCATTTTAATGGTACTTCAACGGGCCTTTGTTAATGGGAAAGCCATTAATATTTTATGGAGCGTTTCAATACTGTGGCTCTTTGATTTTGAAAGATAACTTTTCATGAACATGTCTCATTCCAGCATGGGAATGGGGGTCCAGGCCTCCTGGTCAAGGCCCCTCAGAGGCCAAGCTGTCATGTATGGGCATTCCCCTGTCCTTCCCACTACTAATTCTTAATATGTTTTATTCTGTGAGCTATCAGAAGAAGTGCTGCAATTAAGATGACTGCTGGTCCATGGACTATAACTTAAGACTAAGTTATATATGAAGCATTTGCTCTACACTAATACATTTGTATGTAGAAGTATACATTAAAGTGCAATTTTCAGCTTTACTAATTCAAGTCCAGTAGGATAGGGACTGGTAGCAACCAAAAATTGCTAATAAAGTGGCTGTTGCTCATTGGTTTTATGAGTCCTTGTTACAGATCCCATTGGACAAATGTTCGCATCACAAAACACATGAGCACTTGTTCTTGGGATCTGAACTGGCTGTCTCACTGGCAATCTTGTGAGAGAGGCAACTGAATAGTCTGGGGAGATGTCTTATCTTAATGAGTGTCCCTGTTACTTTCAGCAGTTTAACATTCCAGTGAATTTCTCCAGGACTACTTTTTTCTGGAAAGTCTAAAGGTGAAGCATGCAGCAAATTTTAAAAATTGTTGGGGAACATTTAGCATATTAATGTAATAGATTTTGGGATCTCTCTATTGCATATGTTTCATGAATAGATGTAACAATCTTTGAATTACACCTTCTGATTTCCCACAGGCTCTGTGCAGGTAACACCAAGCAAAGTCCAATCCACTAAAGAAGGAAAAAATGTCACTTTCCTCTGCCACTTGATTTCAAAGCATGATGTGCTTCAAGTCACCTGGCAAAAAGAGAGCGGGAAGAAAGAAAACAACATAGCAACCTATAGCAAGATAAATGGTCACAAGATCCTGGATAACTATGTTGGCCACATAAACTTTACCCAGCGCGACTTAAAAGTCTCTGCCATCACCTTTCATGCAGTCACCATGGAAGATGAGGGATGCTACAAATGCATCTTCAACACATTTCCCTTGGGGTCCGTTTCTGGCAGGATGTGTCTCGAGGTCTACGGTAAGACATCATCAGTGTTCAGGGGACTTTTTTGAAACTCTAGCCATTCTCATGGAAAGAACGATGTTGATCTCTAGTTGCAACATTTGTTAAATCTCTCTATTCCTAAGGCAAAGTTTTCCTAATTGCTCTTCCATCCTTCCTCATCAGTTGTACCTTTGATAGGGGGGGAAGTAGTGTTTAATGGTTATTTTTAATTTTTTTATCATTAAGAAAATAAGAAATCAGGAAATGGTGACTTTTGATATGCAGCTTACTCAGAGTACCTGATAGGTTACCATTCCCTATTCTTCCAGTTTTGAAGCTTTAGTTGTAGGAAGAAATTCCAACTGCACATTGCATTGAAAGCTGAGGACCTCTGCTCCCCAGCATGGTACTTCTGTGCCACTGAAGTGTTTAAATTAAGCTTCTACCTTAAGCTTACATTTTGACATTCAACATTGAACATATCTGGAGGTGAATTATGGAGCAACAATTAAAAAACAGTGGATAGGTTGAGTTCAAGAAATTGGTAAGAAGGGAGGCAGAGAGAATTTCAGTATGGATGCTGTTTTTACCCTGTGGTAGGTGACTAAGAATTCATCATAGAGATCAGCTTATGTTGGCTCAGAGAAATGAGTGGGAAAGAACACTGTGAGATGAGATGTCAGGTTTCATAATCAAACATAATAAAAATCCTCAATTAAAATAGAGATTCTATAAAAAAGAAAGGGATGGGAGATTACCTGGAAATGAAATGAGAATGTGTAGCTATTCAGATGTCTTGCAGGGTGTTTCAGTTTTAATGCTAGAAGATAGGTGGGATATGAGAAGGGTTTCAATATCCACTATTAGCAATTGTCATTCTTGCTGTCTTGGACACTCAAGCAGATTAAGTTGTGCCCTAAGGAGTTTGAGCAGAAGGTGTTTTCCACGTATACAATTTCTTGGAACAACAGTATAGAGGCATAGTGCAGCCTATAGTGTTGTGGCAACTTTGCTCATCTGTTAATATCAAAGCTTTCCAAAAGAAGCTCACATCCATGTGACTAGAGCCCAAAGTTCAGGATAATCCTCTGAATTCTCATGTGATAAATTTCTTAAGCAACCATGGAGTGGATCATATAGCTAAGCACAGGTGTCTAGGAACAGATAGTGGGAATGAAATCTGAATTAAGGCATGATTAGATCCTAAATCAAAACTGACAAAATACAGAAAGAATTTAAATGTAATTTTCTGGGTAGTAGAAGGGACTCACTTTGTTTTGTTTTGCTTAAAATAAATCATTTATAACAAAGAAAAACATTTTGTACAAACATGCATCCTCCAATGCAGAAGTATAGCTTTTACCATTAACATTTAAAGCAGGAAAAGAATTTTCCCAAGGCAACCCAAATCCTTGCTATTATGATTCCTCCTGGCCTTGAACAAACTTAAAAAAAATATTTTTCTACCAATACACATGCTTTTTGGAGCAGCCATTTGTTTCTTGAATCCAAACCTATGCAATAATCTGCACAAGCATATCTGTAGTTGACAGACATTATTGCTTGCAGTTTCTGTGAGTCTTTCAAAGGTTTCACTCTTTCTTTAAAGAATCAGAGATGAAGATCTACTGGCATGAGTTCAGATTTTGTCGGTCACAGAGGATGCCTGTATACATGTGGGGAGGCTGCTCCATGCTGTAATTACAGCGTGTCAGAGCAGACTCAATTAATTAAGTCTGCTTAATTAATTAATTGAGTCTGCTGGACAGTGCTAAATTGTGCACTCCATTTGGCCTCCGTGTCTTGTATATTAGCATTCCTGTACATCAAAATGGCAGCGGGGGCACTTTAACTAAAGCTTGTTGAACGAGCTTCAGTTAAGCGCCCCTACCACCATTTTGAAGTGTGGGGATGCTGATACACAAGACACTGCAGGCACTTTAATTAAAGCAGCTCTCAGAGTCACTCTTGTTAAAGCCCCCCATCTTCCTCTGCCCCACCCCTGGAGCATGTATAAAAACATGCAGAGATCCCATACCTTAATGGAATACAACCTAAATGCTGTAATAACCATCTTTTATGAGGATTACACATCTCTCAGCATTTGCTTCTAGTGTATTTTATTGATATACAAAACCAAAGTAAATTATACTAGGTTCTGTGTATGTCTGTCCAGGGCTTTAGTTTTTTTTCAAATATCCTACTGTGTTTATATCAAATACATTGAGAAATAAAATGCATTGAAAAGTGACTGTTAAATAAACTAAGCATTTCTTAATTAAATGAATAACCTTATGAAACTTAGCATATTCAATCAGGTATTGCACTCCATTTGGTGGTATTTGGTACCAGATGCTTCTGGAGGAAGGTATATACCCTTTTTCTGACTTGCATCTGGCAAAGTAAATTGTTCCCTATGCCTCTTTGAATCAGTTACTTTCTAAGGTACCACCCAACCCTACCTTCAGCCAGGGGAGACTTAATTCTTCATGTAGCCTTTAAAGCAGTTAGGAATCCCATATAGTGAGATACGGCCTTATTATAAAAGGTATGGGGAATTTCCTAATGTAAGGAAAGAAGCATTATTTTTGTTGGTGGGACTTTATGCCTACACTGCAATCCAAAGGTGCATTTGCATCTTGTATACACATCCCCAATCTAGCTGTAAGCAAGTTACCCTGTGTACAAAGAACAGGATAGCTGAAACATCATGAGATCCAGTGGGAACCTTGGACAAATACTCAGATACCTAGTCTTTGCTGGCACAGTTACCCTGTTACCAGTATCCACACTAGCTCAGCAGCAGACATACTCTTTGTATTGCAGTGTAGACCTACCTTGAATTGCTTATTTGCCTACCCTGTAAGGGCAGAGGCAGACTTTCCTTTTGCCGCCTTCATAATACACTGAACGCTTGTCCTGCTCATTTCAATCTAGTGAGCATGCAATGTGGATTTTCCCTTAGGAGCACTGATACATAGCATGTACCAATTCTTTTCACTTGTCACAGCGTGTGGCCTCCTAGAATGCTGCTTATGCATATATTTCACAGGGCAATCAGGTTCAATATTTTTTCTCTCCAGATTGCACGTTGACGGCATTCTTCCATATGTACTTCTCCAAGCTTCTTGCACCTCAGTGATGTTCTGATAATTCCAATAACATTTCAAAGCTTTCTTTTGCTGTTCTAACAACAGAAATACCTTCCCGAACATTGCTAACTGAACTGAATGAAGGAGACAGTTGACAATGGTTCTGTCAATGTGGGTCTATATTCCTGAACACTAAAATGGATGTTCTATATATATATATATATATATATATATATAAGATATACATTGTATCCCTTCCTCGAATAATAATTCAAGATTCTTAACCTCTTAAAATCTAGCAGAGCTCCCAGTTTCACCTGGTCAGTCTGCCAAGGTCAGGAAGAAATTCCCTCCATCCCCTTTGCACAGTTTTGCCCAGTGCATATTTGGTCATATTTATTCTGTTTTTATTTTCACCTTCCTCTAATGGATCCAAAATTGTCCAGGGTGAGAGTGGACACATGCTCTGAGGTATAAGATATCCTCTTTCTTAAGTTCCTGGCTTGCTGATTTGCTCATATACTCTGGGTCATATTTCTTATTAACTTTAGGATTGGAAAAGAAATGTCATTCTCATCAGATTGTCAGGGACATTGGGGAGGGAGGAAAGGAGGTGGTGGTTGTCTTCCTCTGCTGTGTGGACCCCCTGCTATGATAATCTGAATATATCTCACCTAAACAATTTTCTGCCATGTCATGGACTGGGTTTGTAGGTGGCAACTCGGGTCTATTCTTTTCCCAGCCTCTGGCACACTTCAGCTTAGTTTTGTGTAGACTGAAATGCTTTGGTCTAATTTAAGTATTTGGGCTTGAAATGAGATTTTTGGGTAAAACTTAATGGCCTGGGATAAACAAGAGGTCAGATGACATAATCTGGTAATCCCCTATGGCCATAAATGATATACAGCTACAAAATGAGCTTACTCGTTGGAAAATTAAATGAGACATAGGACATGGGAAATGTTCTGAAACATTTACACTAGCTTTTATCTTATATTTTCACCCAATGATATCACCAAATGAAACATTTTCAATCCCTCTGACCCATTTTAACTATAAAATATTTTAATTTGTACTGTGAATGCTTTAAATTGTGCATTTATTTTTGAATTATTATTCTGGTTCAATCTCGAAGCTACTTTAGGGCATGTCCTGAATGGGCCATTCTTGCACATGTGTCAGGCATAGAAATACTCCAGTGAGGCCAGTCCAGGGTTGTCCGCAACAGCCAGAGACCAGCACCAGGAGACCAGCCTGCAGTGGCCTCACTGGTATGTTTTGGGGTTTGGGGCATGGAAGTGCATGGGATAGAATTGGCAATGGCCCATGTGGGACATGTTGCCACTGCAATACAGGCATATCCTTAAATTCCTGATTTAGATGGGCTTCTGATGCATATGATCAGAAATGTGGGGAGGGGAAGGTGTTTTAATTAGTGTGGTTCCTGGGCAGCCGCTCTAATTGGAGTGCCTCACCGTCACATATATTAAGCCCCCACATGTTTAAAAATGACTGTGGGATACTTTATTTAAACCTCATTCAGCAAAGCTTAGTTAAAGTGCCCTGCAGCCATTTTAAAACACGCAGGAGCTTAATACACATGACACTGCAGCATTCGAATTAGAACACCAATGAGCATGTGTATAGGCCACCCTAAATTCCTATTTTGACTATGGGAGTAACTTGTGCTAAACCAAATAGAGGATTCCTACTGTCTGAGAATGTGATACAAGAATTCACCCCAAAGACTGTCTGAACCCCTCAGTCACTCCAAGGTGCAACTCAACTTGCAAAAATTTCTGCTTGAAGGGAAATCATTATCTGCTTGCCCTAGAGAGAAGGAAAGGATAACTGGGGATTCTCAGGGAGATTACATGGCAGTTGTTGACAAGCTTTTACAGTCTTCATATTCCACGGGAGGGTTATTCTGGCATTGGCACTATAACTGGTTTATAATTGTTCAAGGGAACTGAAACCACAGCTAGTATCGTATACCACACATAAGGCCTAGCAACCACACACTGCAGGAATAGGTATATTCACAAGAGGGAATTTTAGAGTTGTGTTGCTGGAACAGGGGGTGGGGGAAAATGCTATAAAAACTGGTGTAATAGGGATGGGTTTTCCCGTAATAAGAAATGACGACAAAAAGAGAATTTGAGTGTTGCCCCTTTGTACTTCTGAATTCAAGATCTTTCTGAAGAGTAAGTGGCAGATGCTGGAGCTGGAACCTGAGAGAGAGGCAATTGTTTGTCACAGTGATGGTTACTGGCCAGTTGACAGGATCCTTTGTGGCTGTATTCATGTGTATCCAGATACATTCTGAATAATATAATGGAGATCTCAAAGGAAGGTGGATAAATACTGACACTGTTTCCTAGATGGAGAAACTGAGGCTCAGGAAGACTTATGTGCCAAACCTCATACAGTGAGTCAGGGGCAGAGCAAATTCTGGCTCTCTTCTATAAACATTAGATACCAGTGCCACTCTTAGCCTCCCACTGACATTACTGGGATCATGGTCAAGCCCTTTAAAATAAAGAACATTGAAAATAAAGAAATTTGAGTGGCTTCATTTAATATCTAAAAACAGAGACATAGCCAATGAATAAGGATAGATTCAATGTAAGATTCAAATGTCTGTCTATCAGGAGAGCTGTTTTGGGGCAGAACTTGTGAATTTGGCTGTATAATACTTCAGGATTATAACATTTAACAAAAAATCTAATGGGTGGGGAAATATGGCCCAATGTAAAGAGCAGGGTTGTGAGATTTGAGAAATATGAATTTCCACATTGTCACAGTTTCACTGCATGACGGGGCAATTTCGATCATTTCTCTGAGCCTTCTGTCAGAGTTTCGTCTACAAAAAGCATTGATCTCCCACTTGAACAGTGTGAAGTATTAATATCCAGTCATGTGAGTTATTTTTCACTGACGTTCTGTAAAAGACCTCCCAGTGGAAACACCTGCCCATGTGACCTTGGGAAGATTTTACTCACTGTTTCTTTTTTGTCAGTTTCAATAATATTTGAGGCCAATGTCGTGGGCGGTGATAACCAAAACCATATTTTTGTGCATCTTGTGAGTAAAAGAAGAAGTTCAAGTAATGATTTGCTAATTGAAACTTAATGTTCTTTGTGTAATCACTCCTCTCTCAATTTCCAAACTCAGATGGGAGATTTTTTTTAAAGTTTCAGCTGAAATCCCCAGGACTGTTTTTACTGCAGTGTTAAGAGGAAGCAGTATTGTAATTCATCAGTCCTTGCAGTTGGATAATATTGAGTTTCTGTCTGGTTGGGGACGAGAGAAGTGAGATGTTTCTGATGAGATCTCAAAAGCAGGTGCAACCATAATAAACACATTGTCTGGGGTTATAACATAGAACTTAATGGACTTTAGGATTATTGTAGAAACTAGAAATCAAAGACCTCGTGAAAAAGAACCCTAAACTGACATTATTTATTTATTTTGTACCTAAGTATGGAGTGGCTGTAGCTTCTCTGAGGTTAAGGTTGGTACATGGTGTCTTATTTTTGGCTTGGAAAATTAGCATAGGGCTAAGGGAAGATACTTAATGGTTCAGGAGAGATGTAGATGCCAAACCGATAGATGCCACTTTTTATCCTTCAACTTTGTTTTGACTTTCAGTTGATTTGACTTTCAGCTTTTATCCATCCTGGTTCTTTAATTCTAAGTATATTTATTTATTTATTTATTGCTAGAAATATCCTGCTCAGGAATGGAGCCCCAAAGGTCTCCTGGATCCTGTCCAGCCACCTTTGGCAGAAACCATTTACCTGCACAGTGGAAAAAGAGACGCTTTGATAGAACACACAAATATTAGTGAATCAACAAAATCTAAAACCCTTTTTGTATCAATCAAATGACAAAACTATAGTTGCCAGTTTTAAGACTCAGGGGAACATCCGAGGAAACTAATATTTTATTGCAAGTACCTAGACTTATTGATCCATCTGTAGACCCAGGTCCTTCCAAGGCATATACAGATGCATAATTTAACTTACATGTATGGTATGATGAAGCTCAAGTCACCAAAGTACAGTTGTATGTCTGGGTAAATCTTGGCATGATTAGGGCACCTAAGGAAGTGGTGATATTTGCATGACCCAAGCATGTGTTCAAGTTAATGGGAGCTTCTGGATGCTCAGCACATGTGAAAATGAGGCCCACACTTCAGTTCTTAAGGGTGTGTAGTTAAGGAACCACTCCTTTATACATTTTGTCCTTAATTTTATAACTCAAAATATAAGCACGCTTTACAACTATATAAAGGAAACAAAACTGATGGGAGTTTATTAATTACATATGCTCATTTACTTCAGTTGCACAACGATACAAAGACATAACATATAATGTTACCGTGATTTGATTTTAAAATGATCTGTATGGGGAAACTTGCATTGTTCCTGCTTTACTTTATTAGTTTCTTGGGTCAGTCCTAGGGCTCTTAGGTCAGCACCTACCATCTACTAGTAAAACTATACAAAAACAAAAAAGAAAAGTAATAGACATCTGCCTTGCTCATTTTAGTTACCTGGCTTCTTACTTCCCACATATGTTACTTTTTATCTTTTAACCCACTCATTCTTGCTTATGTCAAGCTGTGATAATATACTGCAGCTCCCGTGCTTTTACTTCCCCATGTCTGTATTTATGGAGTTCTTCATTTTTGTTCCAATATTGTGAAAGCCTGTATTACCATGCTGAGTGTCCTGGTTGGCTGAGATGGCAGACAGCACTGGAAAGTAAAATTAATAGAAGCTTTGTCTTCATGACTTAGCAAGAAACAGGCACCAAGATTCTCTTTTCCAAGCATACAGTTCTTCACTGATATAGCTGGAGGTATTAATCTTATCTTGTGTTTTACAGCAATATCAGAACCCAGAGTGGAGGCCAAGCTTGTGTCCAGCCCTGACAATGCTGGAGAGAAGCTGCTGGAGATGAGCTGCTCAGTAACAGGGAAACCAACCCCAAAGGTCTCCTGGATCCTGTCCAGCCACTTTCAGCAGAGACCAACAGAGTATTTCATCAAACATGCTAACCAGACTGTGACTGCTATAAGCAGTTTCACGCACGTCCCCTCCAGGATACTCTTGGAGGAATCTCTCACCTGTGAGATCCAACATCCATCTCTGAACATTACCCTAGCCCTGCCCAAGGACAGGTTGAAACAGAGTGAGTATAAGATTTGTTTTGGGGAGGAGGAGGGAGCTATATCCTGTGGTATGAGATAAAAGTGTTTCTGAGACAATGCAAAGTAGGAGGTCCTGGACTAGTTGTCAAACAAAAGCTCCTTTAGCATAGCTGAGAGAAAGACAGGGTTTCTCATGCAAAGGAGATAGGGATGCTTTGGGACAGCTAAGAGAACAAGAAGCGAGTGTGTACACAGTGAGGGACAAAATATATGGCTGGCGATGCCCTCACTTGGAACAGGCCAAAGCACAATCTGTTATGGACTGAAGGCTACATTAAGATCCTAGTGACAGACAGCTTGTTTGGCAGTACAGCTGCACCTGGTCCTTTCCTTCTTCTGGAGTTTGGCAAAGCTGACTGCAGCTCTTGATGTAGTTTTAGCCCTTCTCTTAAGGTTTGTTGATTCTTTTGCAGGCCAAGATCTACATGAACCAAAGGTTAGAGACGTACCCATCTATGTGTCCACTGTTTTGGTTCTCTTGGTTCTTCTTGGCTGCTTCTGCCACTGCTGGAGATGGCAACATCAAAGAAAAGAAAATCAAGATCTGTGCTGGGTGAGCCCTTCCAGAAGTATGTTACCAGGGGACCATGGGAATTAGGGGCACCACCTCTGAATTCGAACCTCCTAGAACTTAAATGCTGGAGGCTGGAAGCGGGAGAGGAACAGTGGAAAAACTATGGTCATACCCTGCTCGCTGTCCCTTTCAGCATCCACTCTCTGCCACTGTATGACACAGGATAGTGGGCAAGATGGACCTATGGTCTGACCCAGTAAATGGCTGGTCTTATGTATGGGCTATTCTTATAAATAAGCCCATGGCTGTTGTGCAGTGGACCCAAAGTTTAAACACAAAATTTATTAAGAGTTACTGAATATCTTCTCAGTGCTGTTACATCATGTCTGGAAATAGAAAAATGCAAGTTCTTTGCTGATCCTGATAGACTTCCATCTGTATTTTCAAAACATTATATAAAGGAGGGTGGGCATCATTAACATCATCTTGGATAAAAAAATAGAGACACCAAGACACAAAGTGATTAGCTCATATCTAACTCCCTCCCTGGGAGGAAAAGAAGTTGCAGCAATGTTTGCAAAAACAGAAATTAAATATGATATGTCCAGCAGTCTGGCTTTTGGACAGCTCTCAGTACCAGACTATAGTAAACCTTCGCTGGAAAGCATTTGCTTTGAAAACAGCACAGCATTCTATAAAAAGCAGTGTTGTGCAAAGCCACCACAAGTGAACTGGCTAATGGAGGCTCTTCTATTGCCTCTCCACAATCCTCTCTAAGTCAAAGCTGGGTTCCCTTGATCATATTGTAGGGGAGAAATTTATCCTTTGTCCTCTGATATAGGCAGAAGCAGTAATTTAGCCTCTGAGAAGTCTGGAGTTCTTCTCCAACCTTGAAATAATTCACCCTTTTATTTGCTTAAAAAGCTATGTCTTTTTCTTTTGGTAGGTACTGCCCATCAGCACCAGAGATAAGAAGTCTATATGGTGCACAGACCATGGTCAACCACGCCCTACCACACCTTGTGCCTCTGAAGACTTACTAGATAGCTGACTGCTTGTTGTGTATAATATAGGAGACCTTTGCTATCTGTAGTGAAGTAGGAGCATTCACCCATAATTTGACTTTTCCTGGGACTTTTGTTTTGTTCACATGCCATTACTACACTTTTTATGAAGAAAGAAGCAAAATGAGATGTTTTAAATATCTATTTATTTTTATACATGGTCCAATACATTCAATTTTTATATAGAAATGAAGTTATTTATTAAATTATAGTTGCACAGCTGCATACAATAAAAGGCAAGATTTGTATTTTCTATAATCTTTTTATTAAGACTTCTTGGTTATTGTTTCTTACACAAGCTGCTAGCCTTTTTAAAAATTCAAATATGTGCTATATTTTGTGAAGCTAAGAATCTTAAATCACGTGGAAGAAGGGTATCTCAAAAATGTGTACATACTTCAGTCATAATGTGACAGGGTGACTGAAGCACTGCCACGGGAACACCAAGGGGGAAGTAAAAGGGACAAACTTAACTCAGGAAACGGGAGAAGCTGTGGCAAGCTGGGACAAGGAAAATGCTGTGCTCTGAATGATTGGGGAGTCAGTTGGAGTCATGGCAGATCAAAGGCTGCCGCTGCAAACTCAAACACCAGGATTTGAACCTGGGAGGGAGAAAACCGTGCAGCAAAAGAAAAGACCACACCAGAGAGCAAGAGAAGAATAGCAGGGTCAGATGGTCAGTGAGTAGGAGGCGCCATTGTAGACCCGGCTCGAAAGAGGGGGATTTAAGGGATGCCGAGGAAGCATCCAGGGTCAGAGGAGAATGGAAAGACAGCAAAGAGCAAGAGAGGAGAATGGAAAGCAGATGGGAGGAGAAGACTGACCCCAGAGCCTAAGGAAAGACTCTGGCCCCTCAACTTACCTGGTGAGACCCAGTGAGGAACATGATCCAACAGGGAGAGCCAATTGACTAGTGAATCCAGTACTGGTGGTTGAAGAGAACCACTTTGGGGACCTGGGAAAGGAAGAAGGTATGGACAGAACTACTCCCCGGGAGGGTGGTAGGAAGAGAGAGTTAGCCCCAGTCCCAGGAGGACAACAGGGGACCAAAAGAGAGAAATAGCTGCCTTGGGACCCATGCAAGGAAGAACGGGGCAAGCAGCCAATTAGCCAAAGCCTTAGGTGAGGATCCTTCAAGTGAGAGCAGAAACCTCAATCTCAGAGGCACATAACAATGCCCGGAACATCAGGTGTGGTGAGGGCAGGGTATGGGAATAGTGGAGCCCTGCAAAGAGCTGTCAACATCCTGAGCTTATGATGAATAGCTGGTGTCTCCCAAGAGTGTCTAGACATATCTCCCATAACATCAAAGGCGTGGGAGGCAGTCTTTCCTATGACAAGACACTACCATTCCAATCAGGAGACAACGTGGTTCTGAGTGGTGTGACATCAACTTCTTACACTGTACTCTGCATATGGAGCTCCAGCCCCCTGCAGACATCTTCCACCTTCCAAGGTGTCCGGAGCTTCGCACATGGGGAAGAAGCCGCAGTGCTGAAGCTTCCCTGTCTCCACCCAGGGTAGCATGGCATGGCCATGGCAGAGGCAGCTGGAGGTTGGGGGGACCAAACAGCTCCCCAGCCCAGCCCCAGGTGCTGCACAGGCTAGGGGGCTCAGTGGTGGTGGCTGCTGGGCTTGGGGCCTGCTGGCACCTCTGAGCTCACCTGGGAAGCCCACTTCCCAGCCAGCCCCAACCTGGTGAGGCCAGATGCCACTGGCAGGGCCCATGTGGGGGGTGGGCAGGGAGCAGGGTTATTCCCCCCTCTGTCCCTGGGGCACCACAGTGGGGTCTGCACACCCCAACCACTGCTGTTACTGCTTGCTGTGTGCCTGGGACAAGTGGTGGAATAAACCCCCTCTGCCAGACACCAGAGGGAGGGGATAGGATGGGGCTTATTCCACTGCTTGCCCCAGGCACATACTGAGCAGTGGCAGTGGCAGTCGGGGCAGGCAGACCTGGCTGCAGTCCTCCAGGGGAGTGGAAGTAGAGGGGAGAATAACCCCCATCCCTGACCCCTCTGCCTCAGGGACCCAAGGTGGCCCCCGCTGCAGCAGCGAGGGGGGAGCACCTAGCAGACCGAGGTCAGGTCCCTGCCAGTGGGACAGGGAGGGATGAATTAAAGTTCGCCTCAGATTGGCCACAACCCCCTCCTCCCCAGCGCAGCTTCCCTGAAAGGGAGGACACTCTCTAGCACTCCTCAGCTCCTGGCCTGTGCACCTGCAGGCATGCACCCACATTTTCTCAGTCCAGAGAAAATGTTCTCTGGACATTTCCAGAGAAAATGTCTGCACTGTTACAAACCAGTTCAACCTAGGCAGGTTAGACTCATCTGCAAAGGTTGAATCAATTCAGGCTCCAGCTTTTTAAATGTCTGTCCCTAGCCTATGGGAGCTTGGGTGGGAAGGAGAGGGAAACAGGCCAGGAGTAGGAGGCTTGAAGTAATGAGCTGTCAGTCATGGGAACACTACCAGCTTGAATTCCCAGAAGCATTTTCCTAGAAAGAAGTGATGAAAGAGCAAAGAGGAAAACCAGAGTTCTCCATGACTTTCTTCTTTCCCTTGGTCCTACCCTGGCTCAGGGTTTTTCCATGGGCTTGGTCTCCCCTGACCGGGGAGAAACTTGACATTTTCTTCAGTACAGGGTTAGAACAGAGGAAGAGCCATTGGAGAGTAGAATAACAGCAATGATTTTTTTGGGACAGGAGAAAAGAAAGGGTTGATGCTTGAACCCAGAGAAGAGGAGTGGAGTTTGGCAGAACAAAGGAACCAGTAGAGAAGAGGGCATGCAGGGGGGTCTTCATGACGGCTTCTAAGCAGTTGGACAGGAGGAAAGGATTATAAGTTGGAAAGCAGCTGGGAGGTTCCTAAGGAATGAGGAAGGTAGCAGGTACTGAGAGGTTATTTGGGAGTTGGAGGGTTCTGAACAATGGGAAAGGAGAGGAAGGTCAGTGGGCATCCAGTTCCAGGTGGGTTGTGAAGATGAAATTTCTGGGACTGAAAGGATGCTTGTGGGGGGGAGCTGGGAGGATGGGGTCTGGGCAGTGAGAACTTAATGAATACTGAATATATTTTCAGAGCAATGGAACATACATAAGACAGCTGGGTTTCTGGAGGAAGTGTTATTGTAGTTGACATGGGAATTCATGCCATTTGGAAGGAGGGCTGAGGTAGAAGATATTCCAGAGACTATTGCTTCCTTCAAAGAGAGAACCAACAGCATAAAAAAGCTAAAATTTTCCCTCCTTCCTTCCTCTTCCAAGCAGCACATTTAGGAAATAAAATATTGCACATCTAATCATGTGATGTTTGTGATAGGATCTGTGGGCAAGTCTTCATTTGGATCAAGGCATACCTGGAGCTGACCTGGGATAGCATGTTGGTCAGGGATGGGAGAAGATGAGCGATATATTCTGTTGGCTGTCAGCTTGCTCTGGTAGAAGCCAAGTCAGTGTATGGACACACGTACTTTTGCAGCCATTTCAAAAGAAGAGAGGTGGAGGGGTCTCTTGCTCCAAAATGGCACGGCAGCTATTAAGATCCAGCAATTACTTGTGGAAGGGTGGGAGCCATACCAGTATAGCAACACAACTCCAACTTAAACATTGTTTCTTCCAGGGTTAAAGTTGGAGTGGTTTTCTTACATTTGTATCAGACTCGCAAAGTTTAATGAAAGGGTAGCTTGGCAAGTGCAGAGAAAGAGGAACCAAATGCAACAGAACTGTTCCTCACAATAGAAAATTAGTCATTTTTACCAACTGTAATTCTATTGTTGCGGGGGAGAGGCGGGGGAAGGAATTAATTTATCCAGTCTTTCCAGTATTAACAGCTCAGATTTCCTGGTGAGCTGAGTTAACAAGAACAAAAGCAGTTCTTATGGGGGGAAGAGTTGGTACATGATGACACACCTAGATGTGTGAGAGTCCAAAATAGGAAAATTTGTTGGATTGCCTTGTTGGAGATTGACTGGAAGAAAGACTGAAAAAATAGCTGTGTATGTTATTTGAGTCAGACACTAGTTTCAGCTTGACTTGCACTTCATTCGTTTGATTAAAATATTGTTCTCTTACAGTTCAGGCAAATAGAATTACTTTTTTTTCTTAGTACCTATTACAGACATAGTTGGGGCTTGTCCCTGGATAATGAATGCAAATATCTAGAGAGGAGTCAAGTAAGTAGAGTTCAGTGGGCAAGTGTACTTCCCTCCTGAAGAATTTTGTGGTATTAAAATATTTCGACAACTAACTTTTAAATCATTTTGGTTTTGACTGATAGGAATATTGCATTTTGATCTTTTAGTTTTTACAGCTGGTTACTTACAATTACTGTCATGTACTGTTTTACCAAATTTTAAAAGAAAATGTCATTCTGGAACCCAGATTGTTGTTGTTGTCCTGAAGTCCCATTTGGATTTTCTTTTTTGAGATTTCAAAATTGTTTTCTTAAACTTGTTTCCAAAACTAGAAAAGTTTTGATAATGGATATTTCCTTGTGGGAACTTTTGGTTTTGATGAACTAGCCATTTTTGAGGGGACTAACTAGCTCTACAAAGGGAAATTGATATGATAGGTTACAAAGGAGAATGTTGTGCAAGGAAAGGTAAAGCATGTGCTGCCAAACACTATCCCAAGTGCCAGAAAAAGAGGATACCAAATAAAATAGAAAGGCAAGAAATTGAAAGCTAAAACTGGTAAAACAAGCATCAAACCCAGCTGGCTGCTGGAATACACTGCTGCACAAATGAGGCCAAGAGTTTAGCTGAATTTAAAGGATGGGATGTTTATATTTAAGTAAAATAGCCAATGTTATAATAGTTGGCTTTTAAATAATCTGGTGTAAAATAGATATAAACATTTCTCCTCCAAGGGGTAAGTTTGCTCTAAGGGGTGTGAGGCATAAATTTATAATATGGGTATGTGATACCATAATTGCCTATTTGGGGTTTCTTTCATCTTCCTATCTGGGATCTAATGCAGGCCACGGCTGTCGTATTGATTGGTAACTGGCCTCTTTCAGTGCTACATTTCTGATGGGGGTCAAGTATTTCCTTTTAAAGAAACAATCGGCAGGCCTACATGAGATGCTACTGTGCAGTGGTTGTGCATTTATTTAGTACTTGTGTAATCAAGTATTACAATATGCAGTAACCAAAGTTACTGTGCAGTAGCGCCAGCGAACACCTTTTTAGTGACATTACAGTGCAGTAGCCTAAAAATATTGTGCAGTAGTGTATTA